TAGTCCCATCATACAGAAACAATCATAGTTAACATTCTGACTTTTATCCCTCTAGACACCATATACGTATATTTACCACTTAAACAAAAATATAACCTCATTATATTTGCTATGTAATCTATTTTTCTCACACATACACACACATATATATATATATATGTATCTCCATGTCAAGAATATAGATTTACATAACTTTTGTTGATTAATTAGTATTTCATTGAATAAACTATATGATTTCTAAAAAAAGAAAAAAGACTTTTCCTATTTCTTAGTGAGACAACTGCTGTAGGGTAGAAAAAGCTCTGAAGTGTATGTTGAACATGTGAAATCACCTATTTTGTATATCAAAACTTACCACATGGTTCGACTTAATGGAACACTTGGACTCCATCTTGGCTCCACCACCTACTAACTTTGTGACCTTAAGAAAATCTCTTTACCTCTATGAACTTCAAATATTAACCTTAACAATACCTGCCGCACAAGAATGTAAAGACTAAAAAGAAAGCTCAATAATAATAATCTATAACCTTTTAGGTACTATATACATGGTGACGGTCACCACTGTTGACCTGACCAAAATCAAAGAGCACCAGACACTTTGCATTCCCCCACAATTTTTCTGATTGATTATGATCACATTGCTGTATTTAGGTCTGATGTGTATGTCTCCCCAATGATAGCTTTAAAAATTTGAGGATTTCTTGTTTACTTCATAATAGTACCTAGAATACACACACATCCCAGACAATAAAAGGTGAATAACAGCTACTGGCTTGAATTATATACTTACACTATAAAGTTCCACCATTAGGCAGAGCTGCAAGATGGAAAGGCAATATGAAGAAGAGTAGCCCCACATTTTTTCCTATATATATTACAATTATTTGTTTGTCTAAAAGATTATGTCTGATCATAAAAGACCCCAATATTTTCCAAATGAGCTGAGCAGTCTACTTCCTTTTTGTTTCTCACGTCAAACACTGTCCTAAACATATCTTTCTATTTTTTAATCCCAGTGTGGGTCATATTAAAAGAGGTTAAGCAAATGCTTGCAATGGTATGGACAAGAATTAAATGATACTGTCTTTAGTAACATAAAAAGGTACATAGATCTTAAATTTGACTCAACAAAGAGAAAACAGGTTACACTTAACAGAAAAAAACAATGTATACTTGTTTATTGAATACTAAATGGCCTAAGAAACTATTTCAAGACTTCTTTGCATTTTCATTTAGGTAATTTCTATACATGTAAGCTAATAACAACAGCAAGTTGTTTATATACTGTATTAATTGAAGTGATGGTCTGACTATTAACTTAATGATTTGACTAAATGACAATCACAATTAGAAATGCAAGGTTTGGTGGGAGAAAGGAGTAGTGACTAAAAGAAAGACTGTAGCTTCTTTTCACTCATCAAATTTACTAGATCATTACCCAAAGCTCTACTTTACTTTCTGCAGTGTTAACATAGTCTAGATAAGAAGAAGACTGCATTCCCATAGGTAATATGGAATCTGCTGAGATGGAAATCTGAAAGAGATAAGAGTCTCATCAACTGGAACCTGACCTGGGCATATTATTTGTTTTTAGTGAACATTAAGTGTCATATTCGGAATGATGACTATTTGTAATAGTAGTTGAGGCTAGCCCCAAGCTAGCCATGCTCACCCTTGGGTAGGTTAACACATACAGCCAGGCACTTAATCTAGAACAGGCAGATTTGCTCAGCATCTAGAGTGAACCACTAAATTAGCTGTCAGGGAAAGGTTCACTAAAGGTGGCTTATATATTCGAACTTTTTTCTCATGCAAAAAACTCTGCAAATTGATGCCTTTTATTGAGATCAGAGCAGTTCTACTCAAATAGCTCTAAGCCTGCATAAAAACTTCTGGCTTAAAAGACAATGGTCGGGTATGACAGCCCACATCACCAACAAAATAACCTTCTGGGAACAATATCCAAAGGAAAAGCCATTTGTCCATTCAACTTTTTTCCTATTCTTAGTGCCTCAGTATCTGCATCAGATGCAGACTCCATGGTTTCAGACACTGGTGTCCTGAAGTCAAGTCTAAACAAAATGGTATCTGGAGAGTCTTTGCTACCTTTCAACTGCAGTCGCCATGTGGGTACTTTGATTTAGGTAAAGGCTATATCAAGAGTAGAAATAGAGTGCAGGGACTGCAGAGAGAGCTAAACTCAGGAAGTAAGTTTTGAGGTGAGAATGCAAATCAGCCCTATTTACAGCAAGTGTGAGGGTGAGGCTCTGTTCCAGCCACACAGTTTCATTAACTGAATTTGCAACTCCCAGTCACAAAAACAACATTTCCACAGTCCTGACATTGTAAATGTCATGAGAATAAAATGCAAGCCAAAAAATTCCTTCAGCTCGAGAAGATCATTACATGACTCAGGGTAAAATCAGAAAAAGGGGAAAACTTTCTCAACACTAATAAGAAAAGCACTTAAGAAATCATCACTTGAAGAATTACAGTGATGTTGCATTGGAAAATAAATGCACCTGGGTTAGAATGGGGTCACAGTCTGAGTTACATTGTTATATAAAGCAGAATGCATTTTGAGGAGTGCATGCCCTCACGTTTTCCCTTCATTGAAATTCTTGTACTGGAATAAATAATTCTGCTTGCTAGGTCTATATTCTATCTGATCAGAAATGTACCAAGAAAATGTCAATAGGACAACTCTGGTCAATTTTGCTTATGGAACAAAATGCATTTATAAAATAACTATATTTGCTACCTCATATTCTATCCACGAATGGTTATAGATGGTGATGAAGACTGCCTGTTTCCTGTTCCAAAGCAATAGCTAATAATGTAATATCACCCAGGTCCAAGGAGAATTTCAGTAACATTCACATTTAATACATAAATTGTATCCTTCTCAAAAAGGCCAGCAAAACAACTGACGCTGTAACTATGAAAACACTGCTTACCTTCATTACATGCCTGCATAAAATAATTTTCTCTGAATTACTTTTCCAAATGTGATGTGGTCACATATATTGGTGATCCAGACTACATAAAAAGATATTTTCACTATGTTGACAAATTATTTTAAGTAAAAAAATACTCTAACCTGACCAAGTTCTTCATTAAGGTCTGATGTGTTAACCAGGGCTCCTTCATTAATTTCTTCATCATAAAAGTCCTTATCCCATGAGATGAAGAAGGAGCCCAAGAATTTCTGCATTTCTACTGTGACGTACATGGAAACAGGAATGATGAAGTTGAATAGAACCATAAATGATAGGAAGTCGGTGAACATTTTTAAAACCTAAAGAAAAAGATGAACATTTTTAAAACCTAAAATAAAAGAGTTCATGCTAATTAGACACACAATTCCACCCGACTAATATAAAGGAAGAATTAACTTCATCTTTATTTCAATGCTGAAAACACTGCTCTTGCTATAAAGACGGAACTTCCCAGTAACACTACATCAGTGTAGTCAAAATTATCACAGTATCTGAGAACATTTAAGAACAATTTTATCATTATTCTTAAGTATATGCAACTTGTCAGTACTTTTTCATTTCTTTAAGTTCTCTTTGCTCACTCCACCCTAAGATATGAAAGTGAGATCAAAGTTCATATGTAAGCATTCATTATGCCTTTATTGTGACATCTCACAAGATCATATTATATTAAAATGCCAAAGCGTCTTGCCAAATGGTTTTGTCTAAAATTCTTATATAAAGGGCTAAAAACAAGCATAGATGCCTAAAGTAAAAGAAAAAAAAAACAAAACTCTAAATCTTCTTAAATATTTATTGGCTTACAGTCACCATATAATCAAGAGAAAATTCAGAAGCTAACAAAAGGTGCCATTTCCCTGAATAGCATTTCAATGAAGGTTGGCTGAGTCACAAAGTTCTAGAGTTTCAATTTTCAGCAGAAAACAAATTACCTTCAATGTCTCTCGCTCTTTCTGAGTCTTTTGGTTATACCAAGGTTCATCATTGTATGGGGTACTTTGCCAGACATACTTTAGAGTAGTACATACTGCAGCTTTGGTCAGTAAGATGAATAAATACACAATCAGGAAGGCATTAATAGATCTGAAAAATAAGACAGCATGGGTTTTAAAACCACCTAATTATTAATACTTAAGACATCAGCCAGATAGAATTAAACTACTGAGTCATCTAAAGCTTTTTCTGTGCATGATGTATAACTACAGCACAAACCATTGTGTATGAACCTCAGTTATCATAACTGCAGCATTATTTTCAAGTGGCAAAATGGAAAAGCTGGCCATGAACTGTTTATTGACCAACAATGCTCCCCCAAGTGCAATGGCTGATTAGCTGAACACACCTTAGTAAGGTTCCCGTAAAGTGACAGGAGACGTACACACATGTACACATATAAACACCATTACTTACTCAACCCTTATAGAAGGAGTATCTTGTCTCCATTTCCCTGAATCCTAAATGTTTGGGGTAGAGGGCACGGTAGCAATGTGAAATCCTCAAGCTCAGTGTAGGTTCTTTCAGTTTGAAAGTGGAGCTACGGAAAGGGTGCCAGTGATATACTGGTTATCCATGCCAAATGTAGGGTGAGGTCTATGCCAGTGGCACCTGGCTTGAGGATCTACCAGGTACTGCTTCAATAGGTGCCAGGAGACTATTATCAATATTATAGAACTAACTTGCATATAGCAACTAAAGAACTCCAAACCATTAACTCCAGTAGCAAAAAAGAATGAATTTAGTTGGGGAGAGATAGCAAGGGGAGAGATGCCAGATGTAGGTGATGGGGCGGAAGGCAGCAAATCACACTGCCATGTATGTGCCTATGCAACAATCTTGCATGTTCTTCACATGTACCCCAAAACCTAAAATGCAATAAAATGAATGAAAAAAAAAAAAAAAGAATGAATTTATAGTTGAAGTAAATTCTGCCCTTCAAGAGCTATGTGAGCTTAGGTAAGTCACATACCATCTCCAACACCATTTCCTCATCTGTAAAGTGGAGATGTTAACATGAATTACTTCATAGTGTTCTTCAGAAGACTAAACCAAATCAGACATACAAATCATTGAGCACAGTTTCCGGTATATAAACAAGTGCTTAAAATAGTAGTTGCTATTATAATTGACATTTTTTGTTAGGCTTGTTAGAATTACTAAGAAAGTAACTCTTCTAATCAATAATGACTAAATAAATTGCGGTGCATACTAACTTTTCAACAGCAGAACGCTTCTGAGATTTCCCTTGGTAGTTCAAAGCCATTTTGGTTTCCATTCCAGTGTAAACAGCAACTCCTAAGAAATAACAGAATATAATGAAAACTAAGAAAATGTCAACCAACTCCTCATCCAGCTGGCTCCATGAATTTTTAAGTCTATAAAAGTGGGAAATCTAGGCCCTCTTCCATCACCAGTTGTCTATCATTTATAGTATAATTTTAATTATATATAGTATTTGTCATATTTCATCTTAGTTTACCACCTTATTAATTCCCAACATCTAAATATAGGTTTAGATTAAATGGCAAAACCTGCTATGTTTACTTCTTAATATGCACTATTTATTCACAGCCATTACAAAGCATATTTTTGATAAATATATCTTAAAAATTGTTCACCATATATCTTCTCGGTATTTTTTAGTGTAGCTCCTTTCAGCAAGAGATTTTCAGGTCCCAAAGACCTAAATAAAAAATGAACACAGCTTATCCAAACAAGCTAATAGCATCAACAACTCTGGAGACAGATTTTGCCCTGACACACACCTATCTCCAAGGGGTTCAGAATGTATCTGTCCACGTATACCATATGCTTACTCCCCAGGACAAGCTGAAAGTTCCTTCACTCTGAAGTTACTTGAGGGTACAGCACAGATGGAAGCACAGTACGGGAATAGCCAGCAACACACAGAGGTAAAGAAATGCATGGGGGGATAAAAGGATTATGAATCATAGATAGCAAGACAAGAACAGGACAGAGCAGCAGATCGTGAGACACAGAAGCAGAGAGTCACGGATAAAAGACTGGGAACGCAAATGTCAAGGTGGGAAAAATACGCTGACATATTTGGAGAGAATAAACCCTCCTTTTGGGGGACCACTGGGAACCCTGTATTTCTTTAACTTCTTTTTGAGTGTGACTGTAAAGGCCAAGTGGAAAGTTGTGGTAATTAATATGATGATAGAAGAGGAAAGAAAGCATCCCTTTTTGTATGAATTGCTTGATAAATTGTATGAAGGCTGATACAATTTATCATTTTACCGAAGTTCTAATTATCATTTTAATGAAGCCTTTCATTTTACATAAGTCCAGGTGGTTCTTTCAGCATTTTACCCACTGCCTACTTTCTCAATTACTCTCCCACTGTTCTCCAGGTTTAATTCCAATATTATCAGCCACTTCACAACCAAGGATAATAAATACCATGGCTAGAACAGGTTTGGGAATATCATCCAAAGTGTGTGCCTGGATCTTTACTATTTTAGAAACCCTAAGCATTACTTCTAACAACCCCCTCCCCACAACACACAGAGACCCTATGACCACAACCCTACCAATCACAAGGTTAGTTGTTTATTCACCTTTATATCTTTATATTCCTTTTTATTTATTTATTTATTTATTTTTGAGATGGAGTCTCACTCTTGTCACTCAGGCTGGAGTGCAATGACACAATCTCAGTTAACAGCAACTTCTGCCTCCCAGGTTCAAGCTATTCTCCTGCCTCAGCCTCCCAAGTAGCTGAGACTGCAGGTGCCCACCACCATGCCTGGCTCATTTTTGTATTTTTAGTAAAGACAGGGTTTCACCATGTTGGCCAGGCTGGTCTCAAACTCCTGACCTCAGGTGATCTGCCCACCTCGGCCTCCCAAAATGCTGGGATTACAGGCGTGTGCCACCACACCTGGCCTATATTCCTTTCTATAATAGAAAGGTATTTGACTATTTTATTTGATTTGAAAGAAAAATAGACCCTCCCCCAAAGGACAAATTAAAGGAATAGCAAACTTACCTGGCAACAGCCTCAAGACTATTACTATAGATATTGATTCGCCCAACAAATCTGTAAAAAGAACATAATTGCAAATTTGTTTTCTACATCCAGGCACAATCTATGTACCAGAAATATGAGAAGGAATGAAAATACAAATAATAAAACAGAGAGATAAAACTGTAAGTCAACTACAAAAGCCTATTATATTTCTGGGGGAAAAAAGTTATGTTGAATTGATAATGTGTGTAACATTTTCACGTAATTTTTAAATAGTATGATGGAAATAAGGTCTGTTTAACTTCATGCATGCACACAATACCTCTCTCTTTTATAAGGTTACATACATATCATGACTTGTATCTTGGATCATGTGAAGAAAAGTTTCTGGTGCTAAAATACAATTTTCAAAACCATTAGTTCAGTAGTTCTTACACTTTAGTGTGCATCAGAATCACTGGTGGGCTTATTAAACCACAGATTTCTAGGTCCCATCCCTGAGCTCTGATTCAGGTTCCCAGTAATGCTGCTACAAAACCGCTCTTTAAACCATACATAGTACTAGCCTTAAACAGTGAATGCTTCACTGCTATCTTGGAAATGTCTAGCCGTGACTTGCAGTTGATCTTAATACTGAGCTTCACCCAATCACTTAATATAATAGGTATATGGTAACCTGTATTTCTGCAAAATAAGGTAAAAATACCTAACCCCTTGTTAATATCAGTGTTTTGTAACCTGCATTGTAAACAGTATTTTCCCCAGAAAATAGAAATATATTATGCTACTCAAATACACAAAATATGAAGGTTTGCTCATTCATTCGTCATATATTAATTGTGCCAGTGCTGTACTAGGTGCTGAAGATGCACTAATAAGCAAAAAAGAAATGCTCCTTGCCCTATGAAAGACAAGTATATGAGCAATTACAATGCAAGTGCTTACCACTAGTGATAGAAGTACAAGGTACTCCAAAGTCACAGAGCAAGGAATTCAATCATCTAAGGAAATTAGGAATAACTTTCCCTGTCCTAACATTCTCCTTTATACTTAAAGCAACTGAAAAATGTGGGGGTTTCCCTATAAATATGCAAGGGTATAGATACTGTTCTCTAGCTCGGGCAGAATAGGTCACTCCCTTTTCTGTGATGCCATAGACCTTATACTCACCTCTATTATCACCCTGTATAAGCTTAGCTTTAGTACTTTATCTCTTTTGCTCACAGTGAGACCCTTGAAGGCAGAGAATAGCTGTTATACTTTGTGGCCCTAGTTCCTATCATCAAGGTGAATATGAAAGAGGAAGGGAAAGAGGAAAGAAAAAATGATGGGAAGGAGGGAGGTTCTTGAAGTAGAATGAATACTTTGTTTTTCCACTACTAGGTGTTAGTATAAACCACATCCAACCACTTGGTTGCTCATTATGACTAACAGTGTGCATTAACAAGATGGGTAATGGATGCCATCAGCAACGGTAGAAGAGGATAAAATTAATTAGCCCACATGGGGATAAAACCTGTTACACTACCCTCATTAGCACCATGCGCTAATCAACCAAACTAACCAATCTTGAAATCAAATGCCAAATTTTTGACAATCAACAATGACTAATAATCAGCAAACCTACTCCAGAGAGCCTAAGTATAGTCAAATAGAAGAAATTACACCATTTTACTCATTCCTTAACTGTTTACTGTGGACAAGAAATAGCCTGTTTGCAATCCTTAGTGCATCATGATCACTGTAAGAAAGGATAGAGCCTACTAATTGCATGAAGAGGATATTCCCCTTCTCTCTTTAATGTTAGATGTCATGTAAAATGCTTTGTTTTGCATTTAACTCTGGTTACTGCATCAGTTTGATAGATCAGCTGTAATATCGGTTTGATATTACAGGATAATATAATCTAAAATTTTGATATATGGCCATGTTCACAAGTAACAAAAATAAAAGAAAAATCATAAGATACCTGGGCCCACAATGACTTATCCTGGGCTGATAGTGAACAAGGCTGATTTGATTCATTTCTCTGCCAGAAGGAAGGAATACCCCATAAAAACACAAATGAGAGTAGGCTGGTAAGTGGTGGGTGTTTATTTTGCAATACTGGTAGCAAAGAGAAGCAAAGCCAACAAACAGCAGTAAAATGAAACCAGGTGATTCTTACTTGTAGAGGTCAGGTTGAGGCTGTTCACATTCAATTGCTGCTCGGAGGGTATCAATGGATTCTGCTGTACACAGTGCAATGGTATCACGTACTGCATAATGTGTCTAATTGAAAGCAGAAGTAAAAACAAAAGAAACTGTTTCTTTTCATAATCATACACCCAACTGATTCCAAGAACAAATTTAATATGTTTTAGTAAGAGGCTTTGGCAGAATAAGCAAATATTAACATTTACCACTATATAACTTTTATGGTATTATCAAAATATATTACAAATAATTAGAAAGATAACCTGCTGCAAGGGGGTTTCAAAGACAAAAACCTAAAAGCTCTTCTTGACACTGACGGCTGAGAGGATTCTATTTGCACCATGCATATAATTAACTGAAACCCCGTGAAATATTGAATACATTTATTTTTTTTTTTCCTATTTACAGAACTGAGACTTCTTATTTTGCTCACTATAGTGTATGGCAATCAAGATATACACATACGAATTAAGCATAACCTTTTTAGTTATAAAAACGCTAAAATTTTGCCAACAGCGAGGAAAAATCATTAATAGTTCCATTACACAAATAGTTTAATTAATGATCTTTAAAATGTTCAACATGGATACATTTTGTACGAAGGGAAGGGAGATGATGTGTCTTGCATTAGTCAGACAATTAGAATATTCTATCTGTGTATACCATGCACTTGATTCATCCAGAACTCAAAGCAGGCTCCAATGAACCCATTTACATATCATCAAACAAGGGCTAAGCGGACTCAAAGAGTGTGCCACTTACACAGAAGGGAAAGCTGTTGTTCCCATCTTGGGGGAATATTATGGCAATGTCTAGATTATACTTAAAACCATCTCCTGATTTTAAAAACCTCTGTGCTTTTATTTACTTTATTTTTATTTTTTTTAAACCTCTGTACTTTTAGCTGATTTGATCAGATCAACTTAACTGAAAAAAGAAACTACCTGAAAGTGTTCTTCCTCTAAACAACTTTTTCACTATCAGGAAATCTTCATGTAGATTTCTTGATTTACATCTTGACATTCCCTAAATTATAATTTTGCTTTTGAACAGGTTGAAAGCAGGTCATTACCATGATTTTGAAATAGAGAATTAGTCATTCAACAGGTAAAGTTTCTCTTTTAAGTGCTGAGACCTAGTCCTCAACTCCAGATAGAATAAACAAGCAGAGGAACCCTCCAAAGATATACCCAGAGGTGAGCCACACGAGTAACCCTCCCTGAAGGCAGCATAGAGAGGATACATCTTCATGCCCTGTGGAGCTCTGGACGATGGCCAAGAAAACCAACTGTGCCAGAAAGTATGAGGGAAGTTAAGTTACCCCCGTTTGACCAAATTTACTTTAAGTCACTTGTAATTATTAGTGAGTTATAATTTCTTATACATACATAAAATGTTGCTTCATTACTTATAAAGCAAACATTTGCCAAACTACACCCTATTTTTATTTTTATTTTTATTTTTATTTTTTGAGACAGAGTCTCGCCCTGTAGCCCAGGCTGGAGTGCAGTGATGTGATCTTGGCTCATTGCAACCTCCGCCTTCCGAGCTAAAGCAATTCTCGTGCCTCAGCCTCCCAAGTAGCTAGGATTACAGGCACCCACCACCATGCCCGGCTAAAATTTTTGTATTTTTAGTAGAGACGGGTTTCACCATGTTGCCCAGGCTGGTTTTGAACTGCTGACCTAAAATGAACCATCTGCCTCAGCCTTCCAAAGTGCTAGGATTACAGGCATGAGCCACTGCGCCTGGCCCTAAGTTATTTTTAAATAGCAATCAAATTACTCCAGGTTAGGTTTCTTATATTCCAAGAATATACATTTTAAATGGAAATATACAACATTTTAGGGGGAAAAAAGATCAAATTGTAAGGTTAGCACATATGAAGTTATTTGTAGAGTTACATAGGTTAAGCCTATGATTACTCCCATTTTAAAGGGTCTAAATATTAAATAGGCTGTGTCAATATTAAATTCAATCAGAGTATAAAAATTGTGGTAACTTTTACTTGGAGCTCAGTTTTTCTACCTACTACTGCCCTTTTATCCAAAGATGAGTGTTTGCTTAGAAGTTAAAAGACAATTATATAACAACTGTTGGCCAGGCACAGTGGTCACGCCTGCAATCCCAGCACTTTGGGAGGCTGATGCGGGCAAATCAAAAGGTCAGGAGTTCGAGACCAACCTGGCCAACATGGTAAAATCCCGTCTCTACTAAAATTATAAAAATTAGCGGGGCATGGTGGTGGGCGCCTGTACTCCCAGCTACTTGGGAGGCTGAGGCGGGAAAATCACTTGACCCCAGGAGGCAGAGGTTGCAGTGAGCCGAGACCATACCATCGTACTCCAGCCTGGGCAACAGAGCAACTCTCTGTCTCAAAAGAAGAAGAAGAAGAAGAAAAAAAAGCTGTTTTCTAATACAAAATCTGCATAAATAAGAAAACAGTAAAAGATCAGGGAGTGGTAAGAGGCAGTATTGTTTGATTAACTATCCTGACATCAAAATGTTTAGGCAAAGTTTAATCTGTTACCTTGCAATTGGATTCCCCATCAAGACTGGCTGTAGTAACATAACAGGTTCCATCAGTGGTGCAAGATGAAAGAAGAATAAGATCACAGGGAAAGGTTTCATCTGCCTGTACTTCTACTACATCACCAACCTAGAATTGAGAGAGAAATAAATATAAATATTTTAAATTCTAAACAAAGCATTCATTATACTCACATAAAAGTCAAAACATTAGCAATAGGTTACCTCTAGCTCTGGGGCTTTGAGAGTATCTCAGCATCCTACATCATGTGAAAGGTGATGAAAGAATATTACTCAACATTCAGAATCCTCTTTAAGGTCAGAAGGACTTAGGATGCTTTCAGATTACCTTAGCACTGACCTTTACCTTCAATAAATGATTCTGACACCTGTTTGCTCTCTGATATTTCTTGCACAAATGTCTGATAAGACAATGACATTATCACTTCATGAAAGAATCAAGAAAACCTCCATGTCACAAACTGGGCACTTCATGAACACTGAGAAGCCACACTCCCACTCTGTACCATGCGTATTTCAACATACTTTACCTGCCATGTGATAACAACTGTGTTGTTGGGTGCCAGGTCCTTCTTCAGTGTTCAGAATATCTCGGTTAATTAGAGAGGCATTGATTTTTCCCATAATATTTTAATTTTTTTTTCTATAGCTCACTTTCTATGAATTCATCTGCTGTCAGGAGAATCATTTAATATAGCAATAAGAAACAATTTCCTATCACCAAGTACCCAAAGCTCAAGGAGAGGAAAAACATGAGAGAAGAAATCATGAATAATTTAATCACGTAGGGAACAAATCATAACCATTAAAAGTTTGGACTCTTTAACCTGACTTCTTGTCCCAGCTCTGCCACTTAACTATATGACCTTAAATAAGTGTCTTAGATGACAGCACCTACCTCAGAGAATTGATGTGAGCATGAAAAGATGATACAAGAAAAGTATTAAGCAAAGTGCCTGGCATATATTAACCACTTCAGAGGTGTTAATTATAATTATTACTAACATACTGCAACTACTTTACTCCCAATTTATGAATAGTCATAACATTTTTTTGGACAGATGTAAGAAATCCTCCAGTCTGGTGCTTCCCAAGATTTTTACACCATGGTACATATTGAAAATTATAAATAGTACCTTTGTACAGCACCTTCAGGTAAAGGGAAGAGGCTGCTGGGTGCAGCAGATAACCCACTTTACAAGGGAGTCAATATTTGGCACACTGACCTAGACACATTGACTCTGAAATGCTAAGTAATATATGCAACACCTGAATTCTATTTGCAATATGATTTCGCAAATAAAGATGATGATTTCAAGACCTATTCAGGAACAATTCTATTTTCTTTGTCAATCTTAATCACTAGCAAAGATCAACAGCATCAATAATTGAACTAATTTGTAAATAATATTTTATTTTGTTGGATTGTTCCTTCCTCACTTACATAAACACTTATGTTGCTTACATAAAACCACAATCGATGCTTAAATATGTAGAAGGGAGATAACAAACAGAATCCTAACACATCTTAGAAGAAGGAAATACTCATTAGAGGTTGGAAGATGACTCTCAGGCACTGACAAAACACACAAAGGGGGCATTTTTTTGCTTCGACATTTAGGGTGTACTCAGATATGAAGTATAAAGACCCCTACACATCTGCAGTGCAAGCGGAGACTGATGAGATGGGTAGCAGTCAGATCACAAAGGGTTTGGCAGGCCAGCCCAAAGGATTTAGGCCTTACCCTAAAGGTAAAAGGATAACTACAGGACTTTTAAAGACAGGGAATAACATGATCTAGTTAGACAATGAACTCCAGAGTTCTATTTACCATTTTAAAAGCCACAAGAGAACATCACCTCCCATTACAAACAGGAAAAAAATGGATAATATAAAAATAATATGTATTTTTTTAGTTCATCAGAGAGCTGAGGTTGCAAAGCAACCAAGTCAACTGAATTTCAAAGGGTAACAAATGTTTCTGAGGAGAGACAGGACAGGTGAACTGTTTCATAACTGACCAAGCATAGAAGAAGAGATGGTTACCATGAAAGTGGGTAAGAAGAAAACAACTAGATTTTTAACCAATTCTTAAAGACTGGGTGTGAGCTAATATGACAGTTTAGAATCTCTACAAGCCTGAGAGACAAGAGACCATAACCATTCACCAGCTCTTCTCTAGAGGCTTCTACTGAGTGTTCATGTCAAAGCATACAGGCAGCAGACCTAAAAGAACCTTTCTCACTGGCACAAGCATATAGTGGTGACTGACTGCTGTGAAGAGACAGGCACAAAAAACATGCCAGAATCATGGACCCCTTTCTCATATTAAGCAAATGCCATTTGCATCTAGGAGGAAGGCAGGAAACCTTCCCTGGCATAGTCTCAGGGAAACATCACTACTGTTAGAAGAGAGGTAGAAACAAAAGTGACCTGCTACAGGGAATGGGACCTGCTACAGGAAATGGGAAAGGAAACCTACTCATACCAAGAACCTGGGACTGATACAAGGTAGAAGTTCATCTGGTATCGGGGGTGGGGCGGGAATACTGAGAAAGTCTTACCCTGAGACTTTGGTGTATATGGCCTGCTTAATACTGAGACTGGAACCAGAAAACCAAGAAATTATTCTGTTCCAACCAAGAGCCTTACACTGAGTTACAAACAAGAAATGGCAGTGTACCACTGGAGAAAAAGCAAGGGAACAGGGGGAGGTACCCTCTGTGACTCAGGAGCACAGGCTCTGCTGAAAGCAGAGAGTAGACAGGAAAACCATAAAAAACTCTCTGGTACACCAGGCCCCACACAAAGCTCAAGGTAATGGCATTCTGCCACTTAAGGAATTTGAAGTTAAGGGGCACACTAAAAGCATCAAAAACCAAAGTCAGCCCAACTCTTGACTTGATTGACTCAACCCCCAATACTAGTGGCCTGACAGAAGAAGCCAGCCCCATTTCAGAACATATACACCACTGACCTCAGTGAATACCATTCTTTTACATGCAATGCCCAAAATTCAATTAAAAAATGAGACGCACAGAAACACAAGCAAAAAATGAGCCATCATTGAAAGATAAAGCAGTCCATGAAACCAGACCCAAAATGTCCAGATTTTCGAGTTATGAAACAGAGACTTAAAAATAGCTATGATTAAGATGTTAAATGGGTGGGGTGTGGTGGCACACATCTATATTCCCAGCACTTCGGAAGGCCAATGTGGAAGGATCGCTTAAGGCCAGGAGTTTGAGGGCAGCCTGGGCAACTTAACAGGACCCCTTCTCTACCCAAAAAAAAATGATAATAATAACTAGCCAAGTGTAGTCGCACACCTACAAACCCAGGTAAGCTGGAGATGGAGGTGGGAGGACTGCCTGAGCCCAGGAGTTCAAGGCTGCAGTACGCTATGATTGCGCCACCGCACTCCAGCCTGGGTGACAGAGTAAAACCCCGTCTCTTTAAAAAAACAAAAAGATGTTAAATAGTACGGTATTTAGTGGAAAAGGCGGACAACATATAAGAGTGGATGAAGAATGCTGGTGGAGAGATGAGCAATATAAAAAAAGGAAAATGTAAAGTTAGAAATGAAAAACATTATCAGAGATGAAGATTTCCTTCAACTAGCAGACAGGGTACAACAAAGAAAATAATCATCAATTATGAAGACAGAGCAACTAAAATTATCCAAAGTGATATATAAACAGGAGAAAAATGAGCATATTTAATTACCCAAGGGAGAAAATATCAAGCAGTATAACGGTCATGTAATTGGAGTACCAGAACGAGAGAGAATGAGGCTGAAAAAATATTTGAAAAAGATAATGACCAAGAATTATCCAAAGTTAATCAAAGCCAACAAACAATAGATCCAAGACAACTTCAAGAAGGATACCTATGATGAAAAAAATGTAGGCATATCATACTCAAACTGCTGAAAACTGAAAATAAAAAGAAAAATGTGAAGGCATCGAAGAAACATTATATACACAAGAACAAGAACAGAACTGAAACAGACTTATTAGAAACTATGCAAACTAGAAGATAATGGCGTAATATCTTTAAAGTACTGAAAGAAAAAAAAAAACCCTCCAACCCATAATTCTATAAGCCCAGAAAAATAATCTTTGTAATTGAAGGTGAGATAAAAACTTTTCCAGAGGAACATTCACTTCTAGCAGATTTACATTATAAAATACTACAGGAAGTTCTTCATGGATAAAAAATAAGATACTATATGAAAATTTAAATCTAGATAGGGAAATGATAAAAATGTAGGTAAACATAAAATACAGTTCTTATTGTTAATCTTTTAAAAACAGTTTTAGGCCAGGCGCGGTGGCTCACGCCTGTAATCCTAGCACTTTGGGAGGCTGAAGCAGGCGGATCACTTAGGGTCAGGGGTTTGAGACCAGCCTGGCCAATATGGTGAATCCCCGTCTCTACTAAAAATACAAAAATGAGCTGGGTGTGTTGACGCAGGCCTATAATCCCAGCTACTCGGGAGGCTGAGGCAGGAGAATAACTTGAACCCAGGTGGCAGAGGTTGCAGTGAGCTGAGATTCCACCACTGCACTCCATCCTGGGCAACAGAGCGAGACTCCATCTCCAACAACAACAAACACGCCAAACAGGCTGGGCGCAGTGGCTCACGCCTGTAATCCCAGCACTTTGGAAGGCCGATGCATGCGGATTACCTGAGGTCAGGAGTTCCAGACCAGTCTGGCTAACATGGCAAAAGCCTGTCCCTACTAAAAATACAAAAATTAGCTGGGTGTGGTGGCGGGCGCTTGTAATCCCAGCTACTTGGCACGCTGAGACAGGGAGAATCGCTTAAACCCCAGAGGTGGAAGTTGCATTGAGCCGAGATTGCACCACTGCACTCCAGTCTGGGCGACAGAGCAGACTCTGTCTCAAACAAACAAACAAACAAAAAACAGTTTTAAAAAAGATAATCACAACCTAGCAATTCTGCTCCAAGTTATATACTCAAAAGAATCAAAGGCAAAAACTCAAACAGATCCTTATGTACCAATGTTCACAGCAGCATTAATCAAAACAGTCCAAAGATAGAAATAACTAAAATGTCCATCAACATATAAATGGATAAACAA